CTGTATTGGGACAGTGGAGTTAAGGAGGTTAGAACGAGCCCAAAAATTATCTCAGACGGTGAGAAAATAAATGTGCAGAGAATATTTGTGGGGAAACAACTTGGAGATCGGGCTCTCAGAAGATTATGATAAAATTTTAGACGAATTTTTGGAAGTACTTTTAAATAATACGAGAATGACATAACGAGGATGGAATTCTCTTTAGTGAATGACTTTGATCCCGAATAAATTTAAGTTCTTGGAGTCAGATGCAAATCGCGGAACAAGGATATCTAGTTTATTTCTGGTGCTGTTAATATCCCGACATGTACAAATCTCAAGAGACTAGTCCCATTAGGATGGTCTCATGAAACCGAAACATGCCAAGGTATTAACAACTAATTAAGCACTACGCTATGAAGGCGTATGAGAGTGTGGGTGCATAGATCCATATTTTCTTTACCTCATCACTGGCTGGAAGTGGGTGGTTAGCGTCAGGCCCTGGCCGATTTACCCCTGTAACCTATTGGATAGGAGGTTGTGGGGATCCCAGAGCTGGTCTACACGACTCGGAGAAGATTCTTGACCCTACCAGGGGTCGAAATCCGACCTCTCGGTCGTCAAGCTCCTAGCAAGTCGCTATATCGACTGCGCTATGAAATCAATTAGACCTGTTTAAATTGTGATTTATAGATGGCTCTGATATACGTATATAGTATACCGGAAAATAGGCACTATCAAAATACGTGTATCTTGGAATTGTTTTTCCCCTTATTTCGTGAAAATATTAATTGCCGCCCACTGCTTGAAAATTCGTGGCGATGTCCTTGCGCTATCAGTTTCTTGGATCAGTAGTGGAATGAAGATTTAAATATTAAGATTTCCTTTAATTTCATCAAATTTTTGTGTTATTTTTTATCCAGCATATTATTAATGTGATTAATGCATATCAGCAAGAAAGTATTTTGTTAGTTCTCCCTCCCAGACTGTAATACTGAGCGACAGAACGGGGATTTCCCGAGTAAAGCGACACTCAACCAAGCGGATTTACTAGTGCAGACGAACAGTTACACCAATGAAGTCTTGTTATTTTAACAGCGTGCTATTTAGACTCGTTTATTTTCGAGTGTTTTCGGGTGGGCTCGTTTATTATTTTGGGAATAAATTTAATTGAAAATAAACATTTTCAATTAACTTTCTTAAACTGTTCTGGGATGCGATGCTGTGTAGCCTGGTAGAAGTTCACCAACGTTTCGCAGTAATGTATTGCCTCCGTTTTCAGGGATAAATAATAAGCTAAACAAGCAACAGCCCCAATACTGCCTAAAACCTTCTTTGCTTATTCTTCAACCCTAAAAATTGGTGTAACCAAACGTCGATCACCTCCTAACGGACTATATGGGGTCAAATCGTCTATGATAACAAACGTAAAAAAATGCAATTTTGTTCATACAATTTTTTTGTATGGTGCTTTTATCGGGTTTGTAGGATTCATAGCTAGCACACAGCTTCCACTTGAGAATAGTTCGGGACAAATTAAATTAAATCAATATTAATAATGTAATTAATAGATCAAAATTGAACGCCAAATGAAGCAGACATCATTCACTTGTATTTAACACATAACTATGAGTCACTCTTGGAAAAAGAGGGGTCTGTGTGCACACTTCAAATTGTCACGTGTTCTGCAATTATTTTGCTGTTAACTTTCCCCTCACGTTTCTACACGAAACACACGACCTACCAGTGCCTGACCCGGTACGTGTTGGAAGCCTGATAAACTCATTTCCATTACAAAATACGTACATGATTCGTGTACAGTCAGCATCATTTACACAGGTTTTTAACCATCCTACTAATTACATAGGCGGTAATACCAAACTAATCTAAATTCTGTGGTACTTTTGCTTTTCAACCTTCGTAAACATACTACTAATTAAATTCACTGTCAATTTAATTAATTATTTATTTTTTATTTAAACTTAATTCTACGATGCAGAACATTCTTTAAGGCGCTGAATAATATTGTTGGAAAATGTCCTGATTGTAGGGAACTTCCACCATACGACGATTCTGAGCCGACTGAACCCACTCTGTAATTTCACACACTATTTCTTAAAGACAAATTATAATAGTACGCTCCAATATTAGGCCAAGTGTTCCGAGTAGTCTTGGTGTGCCGCAAACCGGTATGCCTCAAGTCATGTAACAGTCAAGACACGATGTCAGCATCATGATTCAGACCGGTGTGCGACGGTTTTCATAATCGCATTCGTTTCAACTGTGCTTCTTTCTTTGCGTCATGTCGCAGACATCGTGTCTTGACTGTTACATGTCTTGACGGATGCCGGTTTGCGGCCTACCTTAAGCATTTGAGTTACTTTTATCAATTTTAATACAATTCCTGACAATATTTTACAAAAGATACATATGATTCAACACGTTTAAACGTGTGTTTTACATGCATAAATATTTCGTTTTACTAATTACAGTCATAATGAAGAATAAAGGCATAAAGAAAGAAATATGCAACATTAATCTGGAATAAGAGATTTCGAATATTTTCAACTAAAGAAGAGTAATATTTCAATGGCATAATTATTTTCACACGTTCCGTTAATCAACTAAAAAACTTACAAATTATTATGCTATCTAATTATGGCCACATACAAACAGTTAAATTTCTCTCACAAAACAAAACAAAAAATTTAAATTCAGACAAATTAACATAGAGAGTGAGCATAAATGATCATTATAATTTCGAACATTTTTTTCTGAAAAATGAGGCAACACAATAGAACCGAATTTTCAGACATTAGGCTGAAGTGTCAAAGTTCCGGATCAAAGCGCGTGCATGCAGTTGCAGTGGTTTACCGTCAGGTGCGCTGTAGTAACAAAATTGCGAAACCTTCGCAAAAAGCGAAGTTTATCCTGCGGTATTATGAAACCAAATGTGTCACACGAGTGTAACGACAGTGCTTGAAGCAACTTGGAGTGGATCCATCTTCTAAGCCATATATTTATGCATTTTATAAACAGTTCTGTGAGGCACGATATTTTCATGCTGCAGAATGTATGGAGGGAACTGGAATTCCAACTTTATGTGCATAAGAATTACAAGTAGCGCATATATCGAACATCGAAGTGGCAAAATAAATTTGAGAGTTGTAATTTCATATCTGTATATTCCGATGTTGTATCTGGCCTTATTCCTTCAACATATATTTTCGAAATTGTAAAGATGACCTGTGCTCACTCTGTGTTACGCGGGCAAAAATCTGCAAGCAACAAATATAGCGATGCCCATTAGGACTCGGCAAAAATATTGTTTATTTTTCTCAAAACCGTGCAAAATTAAAATTAAAATCCAATACACAACAGAAACTGGAGTGGATCCATCTTCTAAGCCATATATTTATGCATTTTATAAACAGTTCTGTGAGGCACGATATTTTCATGCTGCAGAATGTATGGAGGGAACTGGAATTCCAACTTTATGTGCATAAGAATTACAAGTAGCGCATATATCGAACATCGAAGTGGCAAAATAAATTTGAGAGTTGTAATTTCATATCTGTATATTCCGATGTTGTATCTGGCCTTATTCCTTCAACATATATTTTCGAAATTGTAAAGATGACCTGTGCTCACTCTGTGTTACGCGGGCAAAAATCTGCAAGCAACAAATATAGCGATGCCCATTAGGACTCGGCAAAAATATTGTTTATTTTTCTCAAAACCGTGCAAAATTAAAATTAAAATCCAATACACAACAGATTATATACATGGAAATAAGTACGAAACATCTCAAGGCGTATACATCTTGAAGTCATTCGATGGGAATTTCCGTTCGTATAATAAGGCACTGAGACTGAATGAGAGTACTGGGAAGATACAAACGTAGGTTGAAGTATAATATTAAAGTGGATATTACAGAAATAGATGTAATCATCCAGCTCAGGAGAGGGAGAAACGGCGGGCCCTTTTCAATATGCTAATGAGCCTCCCGGTCGTTTATCCAGAGGATCCGTCCAGGTCCGAGGCTTTGTGAACATTTTCGTAACTGAATTAGAATGATGAAGTCAAGGAGAATGAGGTGGGCAGGGTATGTAGCACGAATGGGAGACACTAGGTGGGAAAGCCGGAAAGAGACCACTGGGAAGCCCAAGGCAATATTAAAATGGATCTTAGAGAGATAGGATGGGATGGTATGGGTTGGATTGATCTGGCTCAGGATAGGGACCAGTGGAGGACGCTTGTGAACACCTTAATGAACCTTCAGGTTCCATAAAATGCTGGGAAATTCTTGAGTAGCTGCAGAACTGGCGTCTCCTCAAGAAGGGCTCGGCTCCATAAGTAAGTAAGCAATGAGCATCGCGGTTCCGTAAACTATTGGGAAATCCTTGAGTAGCTTAGTGACCGGTGGTTTCTGAAGAAGGCCTCGGCTCCACGGAATTACTTGGTTATAATTTGCCATTGCATGACTCGCACACTGTCCATTTACACAAACGCCATGAAGACTGAAGGCACTTTTACTGTAGGACGAGTGTTTATATTTTCTGCCGACAGATGTCACTATCCTGTTCTTCCAACAAAAGATTTATTGCTGTTTACACAATGTTATCTAATTAAAATCTATGTCAGAATCTATCTTCCCGTAGTCACATGGTTAATTCCAGCAAGAGGAAGCAACATCTGAGAAGCAAAAACTGACACCAACATGAAAATTGAAGTGAAAACGTGTCAGAAGAAACAATGCACTGACATCCATGAACAGCGAAGAGAAAACGCATCCTGCTCTGTGCTAAGTGTCTGAGCACCCTAGCGGACTATGCATAAATATAATTTACAGTGCCTTGTGAACATGCCACCTGACCAACATTTGCAGCACGAAAAAACTATACAGCTCTTCACACACAACTACTTAAAGCAGACATGCTCTGGGTCTAACCGGCGGGTGCACATCGCCAAAACAGGATCAAGCATTATGTTCTTTAACGCGTATAAATCTGACACGTTACCTTGAAATCAGGGTCCGGAGACATCCGTTTGAACGACCCAACTATATAAAGATTCCCTGTACCCGTATCCACCATCTTGGCTTGTGTACTGTACCTGAAACAAATTATAAATATTAATAATGAAGAAATACAAACTATCACGCATAAGATGTAGCAGTTATAACTCAATTCATTGCATAAATCATGCCTCAAATGTTTCGCTCCTGTAGGACCATCATCAGAGGCTTACGAGTTTAAAAGATTTGTTTTGTATGCATTAATTTCTAGCAGCAATATTTACATCTAAGTACCTTCATAATTGTGAGTTAGAGAGTTAATGTCTATGTAGAGATTTTGGGCGGTTTGCATAAGTCTACACTCCACAGTTTGTCTACATATTTATACCTAAGCAAGAACCTTCTACACTCTAAATTATGAAGGTATTTAAGTGTAGTTACAAGTATTTCGACATCCACTACCATATCGCTATTGGACTATATGTGTATATGTGTGTATATAGTATTGTCAAGTGTTTGGGTGATTTATAAGACGGGTTGTGGATTGGATGATTGGTTGTATTGCACTTTATAGATTCACACAACTCGGGACTACAGGCAATACAGCGCTATCGCTGTTCTACACACTTTGCAGTTCACCGTTACACACACATTACGACTCTCTGTCATCACTAGTCGTATCCTGGCAACGGATTTATCACAGTCTCACTGTAACTTAAAATCACACATGAAGTCTTCTTTGCACAGTCCGATTCACTTCCTACCACTATTCTCGACTAAATTCAATTCCCTGCTCCAAAACACATGACCTGGCAGGCTGGCGTCTTGAAACGCGACTCGACTAGACCCGACCACCCTCGACTACTGTTCTTTACTCTGTATGCTGCCGAACACTTCTTTATCATCACTTTTCACGCACCCGATGGAAAACACAATCTTATATTGTTAAGAAGTCGTGTTTAGTGCTCCGTTTCCTAGTAATGGGCGTCCTATTGTCGAGCGCGTTTGCTTAGCGGGAATGTGTTTACCGAGTCTTTGCCTAGCAGTAAGTCTATACATCACAATATATATATATATATATATATATGCGCGTATTTTATACAAGTGACCAAGCTAACATTCAACAATATATGTATATATACATATATATGTATTGTGTACTTGCTTACTTATGGAGCTGAGCCCTTCTGGAGGAGCCGCCAATTCTGCAGCTACTCAAGAATTTCCCAGCATTTTATGGAAACCGCAGGTTCATTACCGTGTTGACAAGAGTCCTTCACTGGTCCCTATCCTGAGCCAGATCTACCAAATCCATACCACTCCATCCGATCTCTCTAAGATCTATTATAATATTGTCCACCCAACTACGCCTTGGTCTTCCCTGTTGTCTCTTTCCTTCTGGCTTTCCCACCAATATCCTACACGCACTCCTCGTCTCTCCCATTCGTGCTATATGACCTGCCCCCTTCATCCTCCTTGACTTGATAATAGCTTATGCAAAAAGGCTCCACTAAATAAACCGAGAAATAAATTAAAGGTATTCCTGAACAATATTTTCTACGAAAATGTGTACAGAAGTACACACGCATATATAGACGCAAAGAGCTTTGAGAAGTACATTTTATATAAACTGTAGATACAGTGTGTTTCAGACAGAAGGTCACTGACTCAAATCTTGCTGTTGTATTCGTAAGGAACGTATTGAATATTGTGGAATTCACGTGGACGTTACAGTCTCATGTCTCGGGGTGGGGATGGGGGGGGGGAATTCAGAACCGTAAAAGAGAAACAGTGGGCTTGTTCACTGCAGCGATAGATATAAGTGACACTCACAGAAGACGGGCACTGCCATAAGATGAAGCTATAAAACTGCAAAGATAAGAAAGCGACCATGAAGCATGAGCACATAGATTTTCCTTAAATTTTACCGGCCAGAACAATCAAGTACGTGGAAGAAGTGCCTACAGGAGATTTCCTTGAAGGGCGAAATGTCCTGTCATACTGTTATCATACACTCTTCAGTATGACGTCATATTGCCGCGCCATAGCTCAAGCGGTTAGTCACTGGCTTCCCACAGCGGCGGCCCGGGTTCGATTCTGGGTCTGCTCAAGTGGGATTTGTGGTGGACAAAGTGTCGCTGGGGCGGGTTTTCTACGAGTATTTCAGTTTCCCCTGCCAATCTTCATTCCACCTATTGCTCCACAATCGCCCTCACCTTTCATCTGGGGCTGGTACAATAGGCCAGAAGTGGCCGCAGTACAAGGGACTTAGTCCCACCCCACTAGCAATAAAAAAAATGACGTCATATTGTTAAATGTAAAGGAGGAAAGTATTATTGTGGAATATGAAATACGTATGGTATGGACATATGCCGCTGTGGCATATTCTTAAACACTATCCCAGCATTCGCCTGTAGGACTAGAGTAGATTCGCTAGAAGTTCCAGCCACGAGAGCCAGGCCTCCGTAACAGAAGCCGGAACCGCTGGAACCAGAAGATGAAGCAGAGAAATTCCTTGTTCTCTTGCTTCTATTTTTCAAAGTCGCATTTACAGCAAAATGTCACTGAAATAACGTCTTGAGTATTGTCAGAAAATTATTATTTTTTTTATTTTACAATGCTATATCCAGTGTCAGATTTAAGGGGGACTGACCGTGGAGGTTGGCACGGATTTTCTGCGAAACAGAAATAGAGTCTACAGATTTTATTGCGACGTTTGCTCCTTTAAAATCATGAAAACATTAATTAGTACTTCTAGTTATAAGAAATAGCACAAAAGGAAGACGTGACATAAAATAATCTGTTGTTACTCTTAAAGGCCTCCAAATTTCAATTGATCAGGGGCCCCCACGACTGTGAATCGTGCCCCGACTCAAACAGCAGAGGTTGTCACTATATGGTGACTGCGAACGATAGATTTGCGAGGGCCGAAAGCTGCTAAATCTATTTTAATTAAATATGTACTCATATGTGCGGAGAATCTTAGGAAAACCACAAAGAGCATCAATAAAAACACCAGTGTCGTGGCCGGGATTCGAAATCATGTACCTCGCGAATGTAAGGTAATTTATTTGCCTATGAGGACACAAATATTTCATTTTTATACAGGTTTTGTATCCATGACGATCCGCTGGCTTCGCGAAGTCCGTCCATCTTCCTCCCCCCACCCCTTCTTCTATTTACATGTAAATTCTTTCTGTGTGGGATGGAGCTTAGTATTCAGAATTCTCTTTTCCTCTTTTTCTTCTTTGAGGCTATGGGCATGTTTCCTCTACTGCGTGAAAGTCGCCATCTTCTGTGCGGTCTCCCAGGACTCCTTCTCCCTTTGTTTTCTTTATTCGTAAAACGGGACCGTGTGCTGTTCAGAACATGTGGTTCTTCTGTTCTGTCCGTGTACCCACCATCCGTTCTACTGTTCCCTTGACAATGTATTCATGTCTTTCGTCTCCCCTTTTCACACGGTGAAACCTCGATTTGCTTATCACAATTCTTAATACTACTGCAATAATTTCTATTGCTTCCAATATTTGTTTCTCTTTATGGTACGTGCTCTATTTTCATCTGCGCAGACAAGAATGAACCTCGTAAGAGTTCTGCTCACAATTAACTAAAACAATTCATCGATAAAATAAAAGTTACTCATGTGGCTAAGGAACACTCCATGAAGGATTATTGGTGTGCAGGGAAAATTTTCTAAACATCTGCTACAGACGGGTATGAGTGGTCAGTTTCACAAGCCAGCATTTCAAAGCCCAGAGAGAGGCCCTGTAATATGCATCGCATAGCCCAGCGCCTGGGCTTCCTGTCACAAAAACTATACTTCACTGGATATGTGATAAAATGTCAGCGTCTTTTGAATAGGGCAAGATTTATACTATATTTCTTTTAGCAAAGTTATGAATATATGCACATAAGCCATTGTAAACCGATATATTGGTGGTGGTGGTGGTGGTGGTAGTAATAATAGTAGAAGTAGTAGCATTAGTAGCAGTAATAGTAGCAGCAGAGGTAACAGCATTAGTAGTAGTAGCAGCAGCAGCAGTAGTACTAATTTAATAAATAATAATAATAATAATGCAATTCTTCATTTATTTATGTGCTTGGCCTAAAGGCCCATTATAAGGTAAGCACGAGTAAAGAGACAAGGGAAACAGACACATACACACAAACATGAGACAACATAAGACATATTCTTCCTTTGGACAAGAGTAACAGATCAGTAAAAGCAACCGAGCAACCATTGTGAGGTGACAGTAAATACGTACAGATTTCTGTTGTACAAATAAACAGTTAATATTTATACTATTATAAAATGTTATTTAAAACGGCTTGAATTCAAATATGTGAACATCTCTACAAAATACTGTAGCTGATGCACTTCTAATAGAAGGACCATTTTCAATTGAAAAACAGATATTGAACAAAAAAGTCTCTGAAATACCGAACAGGACATGCTCCTAAAGAGGATGGAAGAATTAAAAATAATTTCAATAAGAAAGAGTGAATCCTCTTACTTTTACTTTGCAATTTTAACTGACCTAAAGCATAAGTATGACTGTAAAGGTTCGGCCACACAGAGCACTACGCTATGTTCGCTACGTACGCTACGTATGCTGTGTACACTCTGCGACGCAGGTAACATAGCGTACGTAACGTACGGAAGTCTGTGTGGCCAGTCACATTGGCAATAAAGGGAGATATTTTTCTGTTCGTATAGAGAACATAGCGTAGCGCTCTGTGAGGCCGAACCTTAATGGACATAAAGAGAGAAATTGTTAGAACAGAGGGCTGTAAAATTCTGCTGTGTGCGCTCCAGTTTGTTGACGTCAGTGAAGGTAATAGAATTCCACACACCAGACGCGGAGTCAATATGAATCTAGTTAGGGTAAAATATAATAATAATCCTTTTATTTCTATAATTTTATTGCTTTCCTTCTCTCGCGAACTTATTATAATTTGCTGTTTATTTTCCTTCTGTGCCTTTACTCTTCTCCTTTTTTAATTTCACGACCTTAAAGTTTCAGCATTCCTGTCCCTTTATATGATTGCTTCATCTTCCTGCCCTACATTTACTTTTAGAATCTGCTTCAACATGCGA